CTGGTGCGGGATCGGGCAGTGTTTCGTTCTGCTGTGCATGGGGTCGCTATGAGTCGGAAACGACTTGACGGCACTTAACAACAACAACAACAGAGTCATTTAACCACTATGCTCCTTACTCCGTAGATAACTATGGCTAAAAACCAAAATAATTTGGAATACTTTGTTTTTCCTTTTTAACTGGATGCCCCACTAAGAAGATGGAATAAAAGTCATTTGGACATGAGGGTGGCATTTGACGGCATACCATGAATTCTGAGAACCTTGTTGGCTTAAAAACCAGAGTCTTTGCCAAGAGAAATGATAAAACCAGTTTGTCAACTGTCAATTAGAGGGCAGGGGCCTAGTGGTGGCAGAGGTTGCTCCTGGTTTTTAAAAATTCAGTCTTTTGAACAGGCAGTACATCTGTGTACTTGACAAACAAACGGCAAAAAGTCACGCTCCTCCCTCCACTCCACCCAACAGCGCCCTCCCAAACCAGGCAGCCACTTTCAGCAGTATCTGTGTGCAAACACATATGCATTCCTGACTTCCCTCTTTTAACATAAAAGGAGGTCCTGAAAGTGAATTGTGTTTAATGGTTTTACTAATGATTCAAAAAGAAAAAGTTACAGATGATAGAAATAGTAAGATCACGACCAGCAAAACAATATCCCAAAAATAAATGATTAGAAATGTGGCCAAATTATTGCAGGGGACATCAAGCTCAACTGGCATAATATACTACACAAAAACATTGTTCCCCATCCTACTTTGGTGAGTAGTGACTGGGATCTTAAAAGCTTGCAAGCGGCTGTCTAGATGGAATGATGGGTCTCTCCTCGTCCAGAGCAAACAAGAATGAAGAAAACCAAAGACACATGGAAATAATTAGTCCTAGCGACTGGTACACCACACAATCCTCAGCCTATATGACTAAGAGACCATGGCCCCTAGCTGCCCTTCAGGTCTGGAATTGAACCCACTCCTGTGGCTTCCAGCCAAACAAAAGACAGGCATATGAGCTGA